TTTCCCTAGTTTTAAGGCATGCATGGACCACTTTCTAGCATCTCATCACTCATACCATTGGCGCTTTGCACTATGTCAAGAGCATGCATTCTATATGGGAGATTTCTATGTCAAGAGCATGCATTCTATATGGGAGATGTCGCCCCACAACACTCATAGTTGATGACACTCTCTCACAATGCCAGTCTCTCAAGAAGTCGTACCTAATATGCCTCAAGAAGGGCAATTGCACCTTGGTGTTATTTCATGAGGCTTCAGTGCCAATGTTTTAAAAAAATTTAAATAATATCTCTTGTCCACAAAGGGAACGAGAAGCATGGGCGCATTGGCCCATGCCCATGTGGAGAGATTGACATGAGGTGGTTGATCTTTGTCCACTTTTAGGAGGTTAAAGGAGGGCTTCTAAGTTTTTTTCGGTAGGAGAGAATGCGAGGACTATTATTCCTCCCTTGAGCTAGCTTCTTCATGGTCTTGGGGGCTTTTCATAGTTGAGGGAAAGTGATTGGAGAGTTGAGAATTATGAGAGGGAGAGAGTGAGCAAATATTCCAACCCATAGGGATCTTGATAGGTGAGCAAGAGCTCCTCTCCAAGGCATGAACTTAAGAAAGGAGAATAAGGAGAAGGAAAAAGGAAAACACAATCCTTTCTCCCTCATTTACTCATTTGCATAGAGGAGGGGCCATGCCACATTCCCTTTTTTTGTTTTCATTTTTCTGTGTGCTAAGGAGACCAACCTCAAACCCATATTTTGGGGGCAATAACCTAGTATACTAGCTCACACACCATTTCATTCATAAAGTGCAACAGGCGTACCATTCGGATTGGTGCCAGAGTGTTTAAAGCAGCACTATTTTCTACCACCTCAATTTATATTGTTATCTGCATATGCTTATTTATGTCATTATAAAGATAAGAAAAGAGATGTGATGCACTTAAGTCATCTATTTCATTTCATTTTGCATAGAGATCATTTGGTGTATTGGTACCATTCAATTAGTGCTTCGATGTTGTGCAAGTAACACCTCAGTGCCATATTTCTTTCATTCATATCATTATATTATTCAGCATTTTGAAACATTAGTTAAATGTCTAGGGAGCATACTATTACATGGTAGATGTTTTTTAGTTTCTCATATGTTTGGAGTCACATTTCAAACACTTAGTCATGATCATGGCACACATATCATTCCTCTTATTATCTTAAATAATGCGTAGGTTAGCCACCAAATCATTTACATATAAATCTAAGTTACGAGCGGTAACATTTTAATGGAGGGACTAGTGTAGGCCTTAGAGTTGACAATAAATAATTGTTATCCACAAGTGTATCTCATTTGGATAATGAGAATTAATACTTTTCTTGCTTTAAGCCGACATAATGATTCAAAATAGATACACACATGTTAGGGAACTTCATAGATTGCAAATAGTCACATATTACTCTTTGTAGGTATAAAATAAGATAGTACATAACTTTAGGCTTAAAAATTTACCAACAACTATCTCTTGAAGCTCTAACTCCTTTCATCTGTAAGGCTCCTTAAGTCTAGTTTGATATTTTTGTTGTTCCACATTTTGCCCTTAATTCATTACAGTGTTAAGAATATTATCAAATGATTTATTTTTTTGAATAACATCAATATTATGTCTAATTAAATTAGTCCTCCAATCGGGCATATCTTAAAAAATACTTCATTTTATTCATATATGGTTAACACTTAATTTAGGGAAATAATGTAAAGATTTCTATGGAGAATCAATAATTTTAAAAATTGCACTAATAAGAAGCCACAACTCATCCTTAGTTAACCTTAGTGGAGGCCATGATTACAAAATCTATTTTTTAAGGCATCTTTATTCCTTCTTTATGAGTGATCAACAATTGAGAACATTTGAGGACAATCAAATCATGAATTTTTTTGCTATGTTTTAGAGTAAATACCTTCAATGGATTCATGCAGTTTGGGCAAGCCAACTTTCTCGCAGTGCTTCATCTCGATAGCATTTCATCTATCAAAAAATTGTTTATTTTCAACATCACGGTAACTTTCATTTGGAAGTTTTATTTTGTAGCAATGTTATAAACAGTCACATCTATCTTCCAGAGATTTGAAACCCTTCTATCAATAGATGTAACCCTTTAGGCTATGTAATTTGGATATAATTAATGTGAAAAAAATAAATATTATGCTGACACATCTCAAATGGTAAGTTATATAAAGTAACTAGCACATGCCAACCTGAAAAAGGTGAGACGACCTGACGGTATAATGTGACACCTTTGACAAACAAACCAAGACTAATATTGTGTAAATCAACTATAAAATACGAATAAGTATGATCAAAATTCTTTGATTTTCTTTATCTATCAGATGACTCAAAAATTTTATTTCATTTGATCTCTCATTGTGACATCTCATATGGTCAACAGTATGATAGAGGGGAACAATCTTTGAAGACTTGAAATGAGTGACAAGTAGAATAGTCGTTTGTATGAAATATTCTTTTGTTTTCTATTTTCTTAATTTATGGTTTAAATTTTTAAACGTCACAAATGCTGAATTGAGTCTCCATTGTAGTATCTTGTAATATAGCATGTACTCCTTAATATAGTAATTTATATTCTCTAATATCAATCTCAACTCTGACATAATTTTTTTTCATTCTATATAAGTCCTCTAGTTCTAAATTTTCTTTTAAATTTGTGTCTTCTAGTAATCATGCAATCAGGTTAAAATATTGTCGGGGTATGTTGTAGTCTACTTTGATGCTCAATATTCTAAGAAACATAAATAATTTAGAATGGGTTGTGCAACCTTTTCAAAGTCGTTGTTGTGCAATATTTAGTAGTTCATGTAAATCATGAGCTTCTTGGTTTGGTTTCTTCTTCTCATTCCCTCATCCAACAAATTGAACCCTTATTGAATCGAAAATCATTTCTTGAAATCTGCTTGAATCATATTCATTTGGAGGAGCTAGGCTTGTTGAAGAACTGACTTGATAATCAATGTGTGGTTCAGACTCATCA